TATATATATATATATATAAATGTGTGTGTGTGTGTTAAACATCTATAGTATAGGTCCTATTTGAGGGATAACTGTATTGTTATAGAAAGTAGTTATCCTTACATCTGGGGCAGGGCAGGGGGGATTAGGTTAGATCAGGGGACGGTGGGTTGTATGGGTGGAGGGGGGTGTAATAGGTTACCTGTACTTCGTAGGGTTAACTGTACTTTTTATGTAAGTACAGTTAACCCTTAAAGGGTCCAAAGTAAATTAAGCCCAATTATACTATGTATACAGCATCTTCTTTTACAGCATGGACTTACTTTAATTTGTACCCTGTAGTTACAAGGTCACTTTACAGTGTCACTAAACTAAGGCATTAAAACTTAAAAATGCATTCAAATACCTAATTAATAAAAACTGGACCTTATTTTTCTATGATGTAGCTGTAGAACCTCAAATAATTTCTGAATTGGTGCCTCATGTACAAAAAAGCAACTGTAATGCTGCAAAGCAGTGTTTTGTGACCAGTATACAGGAACTTCAAATTTTGCATAAATCAGGATTATGTAATACAGGGGACACACACATACCCCTGTGGGCTGCAGTACATTGCTAACAATAATGTTTTCTTGTTTATGTATATTTTTGTACAATGCAGCCTATAGCTCCAAGCCTATTTGAAGGTCCTTTAGTCTGGCTGGCAATACACGAAGATGGAATAAGTGTGCTGGAATATAACACTATGGTATGTCTGACTAATATTATTATTATTATTAGGTCTCTGTAAACATTAAATTCGACTCCTTTTCTAGTTAGAAACATACTTTGTTGTGAAAAGAATCCTGATTTTCAGGTTTATATAGATTGATTACAAGCTAGTTAGACTTTATTTAACCAAATGTACTCTAGACGTGTTGCTTATATGTCCCTCCTATATAAGTACATAATGGCTGCCTGATAGTCGCTTATTAAGTAAATGCTTTGCTTTTGTTTGAGTCTTTCAGGGCAATTGTTGTTTGAATTAGAAAGGAAAATAATGTTTTGCTCTGTTTTTTTCCCTTCCACCCACTCTTCTCTTTCTTAAGAGGTTGCTGTTGACATACACACACAGGAGTCTAATGACCTTCGGAGGTTATCGTGATGACTTTATGCTGGTAGTTAACACACAGACAAAGGACAAGCCAACTGAAAAACTTCTGTTTGCAATGGCGAAAGTGAAGGTAGGTACATTAGCTGAAATACACGCTAGCAGCAGCACGGAGGTAGGCTTTTAGGAGTAAAGTACTCTTCTATGATCGGATATTAAAAGCATGAATTAAGCACCTGCGGCTTAAACAAAGGCATGTTTATTTTCTATGTTGGAGGTTAGGAGAGGGAGAAAAGGCAATTATAAACTGTAAGACCAGGAGATGTAATTACAAAATGTTTGCTCTTTTGTTCGTCTAGTGGCCTCCCCGGGTTCTGGATTTTGCTGGAACAAATAAAATGTTGCAGCCAAAGCAAAAGAAGCTTATTTTTTTCTACTGAGTAGCCCAGATTACTACTATTAGAAATTACAGGGGGAAAAGCACCTGAACAGCATTTTCTGCTTCCAGTAGAAAGATGGTGGGCCAACAAATCTAGGGGTGAGGGAAGACGCTTTTTTTCTTTCTTTCTTTTTTTTTTTTAAAGTGGACCTTTGCTGAAATGGTAACATCAATCTATGTAATGGTCTTGCAGGGATGAATATGTAAAAAATAATAGAAGGGTGGAAAAACATACAAACCGTGGAATAGTGCTGCCCACCTAACCAAGCCGAGATGACATGGTCACATGAAACCAAAGATACCTTTTGTTTATTGGGCTGGCACTTTTAGGAGCATTTTAAAGCCCAACACCAGAATATTTTTATTATAAACGGTCCCGCAGTCTGTAAAACAATAAATAAAGCATCTCAGGCTGCAAAACTCAGCTTCAATCTGGAACTGTCACCAGCGATGAATGCTGCAGAGAGTGGTCCTGGTGTCATCATGTCAGGGCCAGACATGATAACACCAGGGCAACTCTCTGCAGTGGTTTCCCACAAGGCCACCGAGGCCCGGTCTTGGGGCGGCAGGGAGTATAGGGGTGGCAGGGGTATGGGATTCCTATCTCCGGATGCCCGGGACATGCAGTTCCGGGCGCGCAGTTTTTTTTTACTTAGTAGAAAAAAAGTAGTTTTCTTCTGCTTTGTGCAAGCAGGGCTAAATATACAGCAGGGCTAAATATACAGCAGGGAAGCTGCAGCTCATTTTGTATAAGTGATCTTGTCGATGTTGACAAGATCACAGCCTGCAGGTCTGTCCACTCCCACCCGCTGCTGCCGACGGAGAACCTCGCTTCAGAATGGAGAGTGGGGTGCAGAGCGGAGAATGCCCGTTCTCCACTCTGTTCCGTGTAAACATTGAACGCTGCACTCTCAGCCTTCCCACCTCTGCACTCTCAGCCTTCCCTTCTCAGCTGTCACAGGAGAGCCAGCATAGTGCTGTGCTCAAACTCCTGTATTGGAGGTGACAGGTTCAATAAGGAAATGTTAGCTCCTGTGTGATAGCAATAAAGTTAAGTGAAAAGAAATTATGAACAAAATTAAATAAAAATAAAAAAATTACAAAGTGATAAAAAAATTAAATTAAAATCAACCTTGCCCTCCCCCCCGCCATCTGGTTGCCATTCTCCATTGGGGGGAGGGGGTTTGACAGGGAGGGGGTCACATTGAGGAACCTGGCCTTGAGGCAGCAGAGGGAGTAAATCCAGCCCTGGTCAGGGCCCCACTCTGCTGGACGGCCCAGTGAGGAGGCAAGAAGAACCATATGTCCTAATGTAACAATCCTGAAGACTTTGAAACAGGGGAGTACAAAAAAAAGGCACCTTCAGAAGAGTGGGCACTGGGAGGGAGGGGAGTTAGGAATCTGGAGCTGGGGGTAAAGTTGATTAAGTTACCTAGAAATATGTGAGGTATGATAGTTTTGTGAACCCATGACAAAGAGTTTACAGTGCATTGTGAATCTTCTAAAGAAAGAGTATAGCAGAAGCTGTTACTTTCATTCTCTTTGTCTCTTTAAGTGAAAGTACAAAGTAATCTTAACAGGCAGGGAGGGGAGTCAGTTAATCTTCATTCAGCTGTGTTTAAAAATATCAGCTTTTTTTCAGCAAAGCAAGTAACCATAGCCTGGGAGTTATGTAATAAGAAGCTAGGTACTGTCTGGAAAGGAGAAAATTAGATATTCAAATGCAATATTTCATATTTAGTTTTTTCTTAATAGTTTTTGTGGTCCTGACTACAATAAGTAAATAAAATATATACAAAAAACATACTTTTCCTATAGGCATTCATTGAATATGATCTGTATTATATGGTAATCATCTGAAGTCTTATCCTTGTTATGCTTTCAGATTTTGGAAATAACTCTGCTGATTGTCAGCTACATCAACACAATTCAACAGCAGAAGATGGCCACTCACCACATGTCTGCCCCTGCCCTTCTCTCTGCCCAAGCTGAAGAGCTGAAGACCAAGCAACTGGGAAGCCAGATGCTCTTAGCAAACAGCAGACCAACTAAAGGCCCCACTTTGCTATAGCAATCACTTGTCAGTATATGCACTAACAAATATGTGACATTCCTAAATGGACAACAAAACAAACTGGAGGAATAAACTTCTTCCTATTGTTTTATATTTTTTTATTGCTTTTAGCTGACATTGTAAGCCACTTGTATTTTCTTGACATTATCAACCTATTGCCAGCTGGAGAGTGGCCCAGTTAGGGTTAGCGATAGTTGACATGAGGGCAGATGACTCATTCCATTCCTTGTTACTTTATCTCCTCCAACTTCATTGCACCTATATACCAGAAGACTGCAGTTTTATCGTTAGTAGTGTTTGGTATATTTTGTCACACACATCTGAAATATTTAAAATTAGTATATTAATGTCTCTCTTAAAGAGATACTGTCACCTTGCCTATGCAGTGTAACAGACCCCCACCCCCGCTCTCCCCACGCCCCCCTTATACTTACCTTGCCAGCACTCCCTCTCCATTCCTTCCTCTATGGTACCTTGAGCTCTGTCTTACAATGGGCACATAGAACAAATAGCAAAGCGGGAAACATCTGAAATGCAATGGGAAATGTTGATATCAAAAATGCTGTTTTACAAGCCCAGATAAATGGGGCGAAACCATTGAAATTGATATTGCAGTGGAAAATTAGTTTAGGATCTCACCCTCTGATGAATATGCCCCATAGTTTCAGATGTTATCTGTCAACAAATTCATATTGGATATTGCAGTGAAAAATTATTTTTGGATCTCACGCTTTGATAAATATGCCCCATAGTTTCAGATTTTATTTACTCAACAAGATTCATCAACAGCTGTGCCGGATGAGAAGGAAGGTTTGGCACCTCTGTCAGGTATTTTATTGCTCAACGTCTTCACTTAAGGGAGAAGTTACCCTCCCTTCCTGTCCCGGATGGCCCCAGTCTTTAGACCAGGAAGAGAAAGGACACAGACAATAATACCTAAATACCTAATAAAATCAATGAAGAACGTTCTCTTATCACTGTCTGTGTTCCTGTTGAGGATATTTCCCATCACTTCTAGTCCAAAGTGACACCAATGCGTGTCTTGCTGTGCATCATGGCAACACGTGTAAAATGGCACCCCAATGCATAAGTGCAGTAGTTTCCAACTGACCCAACAAGACGTGCATTGTTGTGGGCTGTGTTAAAAGGTCCAGTTTTGGGTTCATTGGCATATATGAATGAGCTTCCTTAACATAAAAGTAGCACACATATATTATTAGGTGTATGATAACACTGTGCTACACACTGGCCATGTGTAATGGGCCCTAAGGAGTGGGCCTGTCTCCCACACCAAGGCTACAATTCAATAAGGTGCAGGAGAATTAAAAGAAAAAATAATCATCCTTACTATGATTGGTTGGATGGGGTGACCCCAGTCTCAGACACATATCACACTTGCAAACCTGTTGCTAGCAAAGCTTCGCCAGTGTCAGGACCGCTAAAAAATGCGGGGAGAACAGATACCTGCTTTGTATGCATCGCTCCTTCCGAGACTGCAGTACTTGAGCGATTGGTAAGAAAGGGACACCTCGCGTCTCTAGTTGGCATGGAAGCAACACATGCAAATAGTGTTTTCTCTCATTACTATGTCCTCTAAAGAGATCCTGCCATTGGTGAGAACTCAACGGGATCATCAGTGTGACATGGTCCTCACTTTACTTCACAACTATGCACCTTACGTCACACTTTTAATATTCCTTAATGCTTTTCAAGTAAATTGATCATTGGAATTGTCACCAATAAAGACATTGCATTATGTTCCATTTTTTTTTATCCCCTTGTACTATAATATTATCTTCAGATGCTGCATTGGCTTTTCAGCTGTTATAGTAGTTTTATTCTTTGTACAGTTTACTGTATATAATAGCTAATATAAATGTATACCAATGCTGATTTGTAAACTAAAAGGTATTCTGTTTAGTAGGGATGTCCCGATGCCACTTTTTCAGGCCCAAGTACAAGTACATCCCCTCATGTACTCGCCGATACCAATTACCGATACTTTTTCTTAAAGGGACAGGTGACTTTAAATGATCCATAGTACAACTACATGTTATGTACTATGGATCATGGTTTAACCTATTCATGTTAGCAGCGGAGAATTGTAACTCTATTGCTGGAGTGTAGTACCTTCGGCGCTAGGCATCGGGGCATTTTGACAAGTACGCGTACTTGTCAAAATGCCCTGTATCGGGCTCGATTCCGATGCTAGCATCGGTATTGGGACATCCCTACTGTTTAGTTCACGTCATTAAACTTGTCTCAATAATAAGCAATGATTTGTAAATCAAATAAGTAGGTACGTGTTGTAAATAAGTGTATAAGAAACAAAATATTGATAGCGCTTTCCCAGGCCTGTTTGGGGGCTACAATCACACGTGAACATTTCAGTTCAAATAGAAACCGACATGCTCTGATTTTGAATGCATTTTACTGAATGCTGAAACATGAAATACAAGGAAATTCAACCACTTTCCACAGTGACTCAATTAAACGATCATTCTGTGAAAATTTGTTTTTATTACTTACATAATAAAACAGAAGAAAATAGCCCCGAGAAGCATATTGTAAGCTTTGCCTGATACATGATTTTCTATAATTGCCAAGAGCAATTTACCACTGCATTACTGCTGTCTACATTTGTGTGCAGATATTACCTGTACTCATCCTGCAAAGCTTATAATATAAAGTCATATGGATTAGACATGCAAGATGAGTTTCGTTCCAAATTGAAATTCGGACGAATATCGGGATATTCAGACTTTCGGATGCATCAGAATTTCTGAATGGAAGAAATAACAAATTCAAAGGAATACACATTTTGCGGTAATAAACTGAAATATGTTAGACAATCCAAACAAAAAACAAGTGTGGGGTCCCCCATAGAATTCACACCAGACCCTTTAGGTTTGGTAGGAATTTTAGGGCAGCCTGCAACACCAAAAAAAAACAAAATAAAAGTATGGGGTCCCCCCCAAAATGCCTTACCAGGCCCTATGATCCGAGCAGGGTCCTAGCGGAAGAGGAAAATTAATTGACAAATAAAAGGATAGTAGTATGATATAAAAAATACCCTTTAACGATATGTAAATAAAAAAATTAACAGACACAAAAAAGGATAATAGTACGACATAAAAATATCCCTTCAGATAAGCAAAAGGAATTGTAGCAGGCCCATTACAACTTGCAGGTGGGTAGTGTGAAAATAACATACAGTGAAATTCTAAATTGCAACATTTAGAAATAGATTGCTTCAAGAACCTAACACCAAACATATATTGATCTTCGTTGATTGAATGCTTGACACTGTCAATGCTTGACAAATTAAAGGCCTGGTATAAAAATGACACACTATAGTAGACTACCCTATTGTTATGAAACTTTTAAAATTCTATTTTTCAAAGAATAGAAAAATCATAGATTCAGGGAAATGCAATTTTATTTTATTATTATTCTTTTTTTTCATTTGTTGGGTTATTGGTTAAGCTATAATGATGTTTCTTACAAAAATATAAGTAATACAGACCATACGTTTATGCATAATATTTGGATATTCTTCTTTTTAGACAAGAAAAAAGTTGACTGATAGTATAGTTTCCAGTAAATTCTTATTTTTTATAATGGTTTCTATTTTGTAATAGTTTCCATAGTTCAATTATTCTCAGTATGCAGACATTCAGTGGAGAACATAATTACATTGTGGTTTTGATCTGCTAATGTGTAAAATTAATTATTAACCATTGCTTACAAGCAACAGTTGGATATATATTTGTTTATTCATATTTATTCATTAGTAAAGTCCTTTATGTATCTGCATGTCCAGGAAAATTAATCTTTACACCATATAATTATTAAATTACAGTTGTTACTGATTACAGTGTGTATATCATGAATAACAGTTGCTCAAGGATGTTTAGTGTTCTGTTACAAAAGGATTCCATACAAAGAAATTAAAAGTCTATATATTTTTAATATAAGATATTAAGTCAAATTGGCATGAATTTATTTTAACAATTTTAGTTACCTTTTTTGTTCCTGGAGAACATCTTTCCTGCTAGATTATTTAATACCTTTCCTAGTATTTATGATAAATCAATTGCTTTTTGTATACTAAATATTTAAAATAAACAGATTTCAGAAACAAAATTGTGATGGTGTTTACTCCTATATCAGTTATTGTTATTTATGCTGATTATTTTATGTAAACTATTGACATTATAACACAATATAGGATATAATTCACAGTACCACAGGATATATTCACTTGTGAAATATTTGAATGATTTAAAATGGAATCAAATGTTCATGCTTTCTAAATCATGTGTTAACAGTTATCATTATTACTGTTTTCAGATATGCCAAAATATGAATTAGCTAACTTAATAAAAATCTTGAAAAGCAGTCTTAGAACTAAAATTCTAGAACTCCACAATCTTTAATTTTAAGATCTTTTACTTAATCACTAAAATCTATAATATTAACAATGATGCTTTGCATGCTTTTTAGATCCGTGCGGCATGCACGGTGGTATCGGGCCGCTCCCAGGATGGACAAAATATTTGTTATTTAGTTTTCATATTTTCTTTAGTCTGCCCAAAACATTTTATTTTTGTTTTTAGTGTTGAACATTCTGCTGTCAGAGTCTCATTAAGGGAGATTTGTATGCACTTTCTAATCTGTTGACTGGTGTCACCTAACATAGAAGGTGACGCCTAAACTTAACAATGGAAGATTTACTGTTAGGCCTCATTCACACTGATAAAAACCGGCCCATACAGATCCGTGCGGCATGCACGGTGGTATCGGGCCGCTCCCAGGAAGGACAGGTGCTGCGTGTGATTGTACGCTGCAGCCTGTTCTTCTCTATGGGAGTATGCGGCCGTACAACGCCGTACGCTCAGCCAAACTGCACATCCAGGATGGATCCTGTCTCGTTCAATCATGGACACCCGCACAGATGTGCAGTTTGGGTGAGCGTAGGGGGGCGTACGGCTGTGTACTCCCATAGAGAAGAACAGGCTGCAGCGTACAATCACACGCAGCACCTGTCCTTCCAGAGAGCGACCCGATACAGCCGTGCACGGCGCACAGATTTGTACGGGCCAGTTCTTATCAGTGTAAATGAGGCCTTATAGGGAACATTTAAAATGTTAACTGTGCCTACGCAATACCCTAAAAATGGTACCTTTTGTCTGGAGTTCCACTGGAAAAAAGTACACATTCTGGTATGTGAGTTGCGTTGGAAATCCTGGGCCTATAGCCATATAGCTGTATATGTGCAATGTAAGATCTAAGGCACTTCTTGTGGAGATTTGGAGTGAGATTTGGTGATGTCACTACTGTGCTGCTCATTGTTCCGCCGGAGGCTTTGAGATGAGGCAGCAATGCTCTGTCTCTACCAAGATGGCCACCTCCACACACAGAGACAAAATGCAGAACAAGGCATGGAAACAGGGAAAACATTAACTGCAGAGAGGGCACAAGCAATAATGATGACTAGGTTTTTGCCTTTTGCCTGCGTTTTGGCACTGCTTCCAGAGCTCGGTTCATCTTTAAAATCCACCCATTTGGGAAATCCAGAGCAATACATACTTTAAATGAAATGAATAACCAGGCTACTGATAATCCAACACAGGACAGCATGCACTGATTTAATTTATTGGCTACATGTGCGGGGTGGATTGTGTTGCAATAAAAACCCAATAGAGGTGCTATTCCCTACTCTATTATCTGTAAAAAATTAATCAAGTGAACTGGACTTGCTGTACTTTTTTTTTTTTCTTGAAGACATTTTGCTGGTCATCCGGCTAGCTTTCCAAATTCAGAACTGATGACCGGATGACCAGCGAAATGTTTTCAAGAAAAAAAAAAAATACATCCCAGTTGCCTTTTTACAGCTATACTATGACCTGGTTGAATGAGAACCTTCCCAGACACACTCTATTTATTATTTAAAACATTAGTAGCTAATTTAAATGAAATAAGTGATGTATAGGGAACTGATCATTGCAGAGATTACACAAATGTGTTCAGGGGAAAAAAGCCTTTGAAAAAATAGACAAACAGAGACTAGACTTGAAATACAGGCGGTCCCTGAGTAACAAACATCCGACTTACATATGACACCTTACTTACAAACTGAGGCTATTACTGTACAGCAGGGGTCCCAGGCTGCAGCCAAAGTGTACCGCGCAGCATTTCCATAGTTGTAATGCTACCGCTTTAGTGCCCACCTTTTTGGGTCCGGTTCGTAGTACTGTATGTACATTACAGGAAGTTGGCTCTTGTTAGACGTGCAGATGAGGGGTGCTCGCCTCTTCTTCCGGGTCACTGAGTTTTTTTACTGCTGCCTGTATCCTCATTAGAAAGATTTAATCTCACTTCCTGTCCTTGAGACAACAAGGAAATCTACCCCATGGAAAGGAAAATCACTCCTGTAAGGCTCTGTTCACACCTAGGCGTATCGAATATGCGCGTTTGTCTCACGTTTTGTGACGCGCGTTTTTACAGCGATTCGCGGTTAAAAAAACGCCGCAAAGAAGCTCATGTACCTTTTCAGGCGTAGGCCGTTTTGTAGCGCATTCAGACGGGCTGAAATACGGCAAGCTGTGAACCATACCCATAGAAAACAATGGGATTTTCATGTTTGAGCGTTTTGTAGAACGTTCGTAGAGCGTTGAACGCACTACAAAACGTACAGGTGTGAACCAGGCCTAAGAGATATCATGGGAAAAAGGTGTCTCCAATGAAGCTTTATCACAAATCCTTGTTTCCACGACAACCCAAAATGTTCAAAATCCAATTGTCACAGGGACAGGAAGTGAGGTGAAATATTCTGAACAGGGGCACACACAGCAAAACAAAGGTAACAGGGGGTTAACAATTCCCTATGCTATCCAAAACAAACAAAAACATTTTGGCTGGAGTTACACTTAAAAAATGTACCTGTTCCAACTTACATACAAATTCAACTTAAGAACAAACCTACAGTCCCAATCTTGTTCGTAACCCGGGGACTGCCTGTATGCAGGACATAAGATTTCTTGCAAATATAAGATATAGTAGCACTTTATTCCTTCATTCTTACATTCTCTTTCAAAATAACATATCTGCTCATATACTGTAGGTTAGAAAATGATCGTCTCATGTTTGCTGCTTTTAAGGGTATTTTTAAAACGAATAGTTTTAGATTAACGTTTTATATAATAAACTCCTAACCATAAATAACCACCCAGCTGAATCGGGGGAGGAGGGGGCGCAGTTTTTAAACTTTAAACAAAAAAGGTCATTTTGTTTGGCTGGTTTTACAAAGACAAATTGTTTCACTTTGATCGTGGCTCTCTGGTTACTGTAGTAGAGAGAAGCCATCAAAGTTATCAATTCTTCTACTAATGATGGTTTTACAAAGTGAACTCATAAAGGGGCCCTTTGTATCACTATTTCACCATACAGCATTTTGTAAAGACAAGAGTCGGGCTATGCTCTGCTTAAAGTGGCGTACATTAAAATAGGATATCAGCCAAACCCATTTATTAGTTGTTAGGCTAGAGTGGGGGAAGGTTCTCATGCTGTGTCAGCATCAGGGAGCATTTCCTTCACTTCCTGTCTCAGACATATGACAGGAAGTGAGCTGAAATCTCCCCAATGGGAGGGGAAATCTTACTTTTAACAGCTGTTACTGTGATACTTGTCTCTTCTAGAAGATTTTCCCACACCTCCGTATCTGGTGACAGCCAGATAAGGAGGTTTTGAATTTCCCCTCACTTTGGTAACAATACCTAACAAACATAAGATATTTTATAATCCTCCCCATATCTCCTCCATCCAAAATTAGAAACATTTTTGGCTGGAGTCCTACCCTAATGATTGGAGCCTGGAACCCCTATCACATTATCTGTTATTAATAGAAAGTATTGAAACTGCACAGAATACCTGGAAAGTATGTTGTTGATGATGTCATACTTATATATATTATAATAGTCTATTCTCATTAAGGCTGGGTTCACATCTAGGCGTATTGAATATGCGCGTTTGTCGCGCGTTTCGCGTCGCGCGTTTTTAAAAAACGTGCGACAAACGCGCAGTTCCGAGGGCTACTTGGCTGTATCCCAATGGAAACGCGAGACCAAAACGTCCCAAAGAAGTACATGTACTTCTTTGGGCGTAGGCCATTTTGTAGCGCGTTCAGACGGGCTGAAATACGGAAAGGTGTGAACCGCACCCATAGAAAACAATGGGATTTTCAAGTTTGTACGTTTTGTAGAGCGTTCATAGAGCGTTGTACGCGCGATAAAACGTAAAGGTGTGAACGGGGCCTAAATTGGTAAGAAACACACATTTTAAAATGTCTTTAATGATGATAATAATAATAATTATTATTATAATATTAATACTTGGTTAACAAACTGGCCACAAAAATGTGTAATACAGAACAATAAAAATGAAAATAGAGCTGGGAGGCACAGACAGCGGGGGCTTAAGTATTAATTGCTTCCTTTGCAGGATTGGCTTTAATTCATTGTTTTTTAAAAAGTGTCAGAGTTCCCTGAAGCACCCCCAGGAGCTTTGAACAAGGATGCATGTTGAATGCAAATTCTGAGCTCTATCTAGCATCTCTCTGTAGGTTACCAAGGCACTTCCATTGTGTTCTGCTTAAAGGAGAACTATGAGGTGAGTGCTTTTCACTCACCTCATAGTTCTAGCCGATCTGTGACAATGAGACTGTCACAGTTCGGCTCAGTAGATCGGGAGGTGAGCGAACACATAGTTCTCCTTTAATAAACTGACAAAAGTCACTATTGGTATGCACAGCTTTTCTTATACTGTGGTTTATAGACCACTGGTGGTCTACAGCATGTTTTAGGTGGTCATTGGGGTGGTTGGCAGCTGATCGGTGTAGTGAAGTTACGTGTACAGCTTCGTCCCAACCTCACCAGGCCTGTGTATGGTTCCCTGCTGCACCATAACATGCATAAAATATAATATGCACGTATAATCTTTTGGGAAGATATTTGTTGAGATGAATGGGAACAATATTTCCTAGTCATGTTAAAACCTGCCTGTGCCTTCATGCTCCTTCTTCCCAGGGCCGGCACTGCCACTAGCAAACTAGACAGCTGCCGCCTGGGGCGCAGCCTTGACCAACCTCTTACCCCCAACTACCCCCCTGGGTGCGCCACACCCGTATTGGCTGCTGGGTGGGTGCATCGAGAACTTCAGGCCCACCACTGCTGATGACAGCAGCAGAGGGCGGGTGCAATAGCAAGCCTGCTATTGGTTATTAAAAATTGAAATAGCCAATAGCAGCCTAGCTAATCATTCCCATGCTGTCTTTTTTTTTTTTTTTTATTCTGGCGGCGGTCGGCGGCCCCGATGCTAAATAGAAAAAAAAATCTTATAGCGTGAGACCCCCAAACTCCCCATAGTGAAAATAAAAGTTAGACATACAATGATAGAAGAACTCAGGGCCATGACAAGTTTACACCTATAAAACAGTAGAAATTGCACTAATGGCAGAGTTTAACACTGAATCCTCCGCCATTTTGCTTAGAACTGTGCAGCTGAAGCATTCAGTGAAGCTACTGCAGAACAAGCTATTCAGCGCTTGACTAAGAAACTGAAGGCGACTCCAGCAAACCTCCAGCTAGCATTGGAAGCTGTGCTCATCGACATCCGCTAGAGGGCAACATTGTTATTGTATTTAATTACTGAGCGATCACAGCAGCCACCAGCAGGAGGACTACATTGCACGGCATGCATTGCGACTCGGATGTCATCACCGTGCGCTGTAAGGACAGCGTTTCTATGGTGACGGGAGAGCCGCTCGGAGCCGTCACATCCCGCAGTGCTGGGGGTACAAGAAATGCCCCGCTCCAGGTATTTTTGGCAATATTGGGTGTGCGGGGGTGGTAAAGATGAGGCTGTGTGAGGCGGAGCCTCATCCGGGAACACAAGTGACAAGTATACTGTGATTTCTTTTTATCAATTGCTGTCAAAGTGTTAGTGGGACAGCTATTGATAATATCAATCAGGCTACAACGTGCGGCCAATCATAAGTCACCTGTCACTTGACAGGATCACCATAAGCTGTCATCTGGTTGCTGTGAGCATGTGGAGAAAAGAATTTGAGGATTCCCCGCAGGATCTGTTTAAATCATGCGTTTACAAACCACCAAAATGCAATGCATGTTAACTTTGGAAAGCAACTGGGTCTAAACTAAAAAGCATATATACCCGTGCATAGTGTTAATGCACAGGATAAAGAAGTTACTGCAGACCATTTCTTGAAAAATGTAAAACCATTTATTCACAAAATTGCACTATTATTGCACCATGCCGCAAATCACCGTATTAAAAATTTACGTTGTCACTACAACCCAGATGCACACAGTATTGATGCCGAGTATTTGGGCGAGTATTCGTACTCGCCCAAATGCTCCGATACCCGAACGTCCGGTATCAGGAAGCCTGGCAGCGAGTCACTACACGCTGCCCGGCTTCGTGATTAGCCAGAAAGCCGGCTTCAGGCTCCCCTGTCATCTGGTGACGAGGGAGCATGGAGCCAATCAGGAAGCCAGGTGTCATGTAATGATTCACCGCCAGGCTTCCTGATTGGTCGAGAAGCTGGCCAATCAGGAAGCCAGGCGGCGAGTCATTATCCACCGCCCCAGCTTCCTGATTGGCCAGAAAGCCAGCTCCATACTTCCTCGTCACCTGGTGACGAGAAAGCATGGAGACGGCTTCTCTGCTAATCAGGAAGCCGGTGGCGAGTCATTACACGCTGCCTGGCTTCCTTAATGGGACTTCTGGTATCGGTATTCGGTATCGGCGAGTACCCCAAAAAAATAATATCGGTATTGGTGCATCCCTAATTACTATACAGGATTTATATAGCACCAACAGTTTGCACAGCGCTTTACAATATAAGGAAGACATTACAATCACAATACAATTCAGGACAAGATGGTAAGGAGGGCCCTGCCCATAAGAGCCTACAAGGGGGAGGGGGCTACCTTCCAGGAGATCAGCTTTATTAATAATATGGATTCCTCCATTCTGGCTTTTCTCTCAATATGTAATAATATTGTTGGCCCTGTCTCAGTCTCAGTCCCAAATAGTTGCTTTGGATGCATTTCTCTCTTTTTAAAAATATTGTTCTCCCAATTTCTATCACCCACATGGATATATCCGCTGCAGCTTTCATCCTCTTCACCACTCCCATAATGTTACTCTATTGCTAACCATTGAACTAAAATATTTTCTGCCATTTTTTTTCTTGTACATATTTATGATCCCTTTAAAATGTAACAAGGACAAGGTTTCTGCTATATATAAGGCATTTTGTGTTTGTTTTGGCAGTGATAATCTTTGGGACCTGGCAGTAGCAGAGGTGCAGAGGAAGGAAAATTCTGAAGATGACACGGAAGCATCTGCTGATTCCGAGAGATCCGTGTTCTTTATAGGCAACAAAAATGGGGTAAAGCAGAATGTCATTTATATACTTTATATAGATCTTGTATGTTACTTTAACATGACTTTTTGGAAGAGATAGAACCACTTTTGGATTTTCATTAAACCTTTCTTTCTTTCTTTCTTAGCGCTTGGGTTTTAATTTGTACTAGCATGTACCAGAACAGTGTAAACTCTAAGGTTTATTTACTAAGCGAGTAGAACATGTAATCTTTCTTACCTTAATTAGGTGACACTAAGTATACATTCACTTTGCTGACAATACTTGATCATATGCAAAGAAAATAAAAAACAGGATGTTTGCTTGAACGGGATTAAATGATTGAAGTGAGCATTATTTTACTTTGCAAAGTGAACACGTTCTACTCTTTTAGCAAATGAAAGTAGCGACAATACAACCACCCAGCTTGTAAATGTTGCCTCCCTCCTATTACAGGTATTTATATAGCACTGGCAATTCACTTGCATAGTTGGACATTCACATCAGCCCCTACCCTCAAGGAGCTAACAATCTAAGATTCCTATCTTACATGTATACATACAAGACTATCATCAAACATAGAGGCGTGCATAGGAGAAGGGGGAGTACCGCATCCCAAAAAATCAGCAGTTATACAAATGCATACATACGAGGGCCAGTATAGACAGGAGCCAATTAACCTGCCAGCATGTGTTTGGAGTGTGGGAGGAAAGTGTGTTGGCCGGGATTGTGAACCAGGGACCCCCAGAACTGCAAGGTAGAAGCACTAACCACTACACCACTGTGCTGCAACATTTACAAGTGAGTTGGGTAGCTGTATTTCCTTTCTCATATTAACCCCAATTACTGGGTTTTTTAAAACTTTTAGATAAAATGCGAAAGGGTTAGAACTTCTGTTGGGTTTTTTGTTTTTTTTTGTGTTCCATTGGGGAGATTACTGCTGTGTGAGCTTCTGGCCTTAATGGAGCAATTGCCAGTCTCAACTAAGTTTTAAATAAAAAAAGGTTTAAATTTGCAAGAGTAACTTGTGGCTTGGCGTCCACCACATTCTTTTTCTATGCTCCGTTCATCAAAATGACCAAAAATCTAGCGGGCCAAGAGTCTTAAACTAATTCTATAATACTGTATATGTACGGGTAGAATCACCATTTTCGGTTACTATATTCTGGTACTGTAACCATGCATGGTCATAACTGATCTCATGTTTTCATTCTAGGGAAAGACAACGATTATTCTTCGATGTATTGACAGGTAACGTTTAACATATTTGTAATTTCCTGTAAGTTAAAGGGAGTGTATAGTGATTTTCTTTATTTAAATTCTAATTTTTAGCCAGTAGGCGGAGCGTAAGGCTCCATTTAGCATGCTTTTTAGTTTCTCTTTACCACCTATTGGAAAAAGCGAAATATGATACGAAATTTACACAAACAGATGGCTCACATGAATGGCTTGAGCAGTGGCTGCTCCCCCTCTCTACCCCTTCCTCCTTCTGAATCCATCTACAGGTTTCAAGCAAAGACAGTGTGTTAAAAAGAAACAACGCCTGTCGTGCTTTCTTTTTAGAAACCTATAGTGCACTAGGAATATCTTGTCAGGGGTGTAGTCTGTATGAAATATAAATTGTATTAAAACAGATGCAAAACATCAGTATAAAAACATAATAAAATAACAATTGACCGAATACTAGGAATGTCCAGATACCAGTGCAGATACTTGGCATTTTCATGAGAACTATCAGGGTTGCAGCGGTTTGCAGCTGGGACCTGGCTCTTGCACTCCACCACTGTCCTGAAATCATACAATCTTTGCTTTAAACACCTACAGATGTGTTGCTGTCAGTAGAGGTGAAAGCCAATGTGTTCTTTTCATTAACGTCAACTCCGGGCTCAACTCACCCATAAGCCCATCAGTATACTGTGAATAAATATTGCATAGGGTCTGTCATGCATCCATTTTTTGTTGGCAAAATGTGGATTGTGGACGGTGTGTTTGTGTCACCTAGGTTTCTCACATACTAATGGTGAGATGCTCTGAGGTTTATGATTTGTTTGGAGAAAGCAAACATTTACTTAGAATAAAATAGGATCTGTTCTGGGTATGGGAGCCTGGAGGCTTTGTATAGCTTTAAATGGGATAAAGCCCCCATTCTTCAGTTCACATCCTAGCCAGACCTCATTATTAGTCACTGGCCTTTATATATGCAAGCTGAGCACATTCTTTCTAGCTCTCTCTGCTGTGAGAGCCTGCTGCTTGGTGAAAAAGCAGAGTACTGACAGAACACTATAAATGTACAAGTTTGCCTTTTTGCTTTGGGAACCCATTAGGGGACACCTTGTTAGTCATGTATGTTGATGCATGCATAGCCTACAGGCATCAGCAGTATGCACAGCACTATACAAAGCGTGATCAAATAGATACCTTCTCTTTTGGTGTCATATTCCTGAAGTACTATTAGAAGTTGTAATACTTTAAACCCTTTCGCACTTTCTTTTGACATCTCTGTGCTTAGTATTAAAGAAAATGTCCACTTTCCCTGAGGAATGGTTTAATATACTGTATGTAATTACTTCACAAGTCATGTTGCAATTTTTTTGTAATTAAAATTCACCTTTCCATTTTAATTTGTAGTCACTATAATTTTCTAAAACTGCCAAAAATTCAAATGTTGCTTGTTTGCAATATGGTCACTGTTTCTGTTTTAAAACGCTCACAGAATTCTCACAGGATTGGCTTACCTTTCCCAGAAGTTTGTACAGCTAAAAGCCAGGGTCAAGCTTTGCTGGGAGCCTTACAGCCTAAGCTAACATTTCTGCCTGGACCAGACTGGTTCTCTTTAAAACATTATATGTCCTGGGCCTAAAAAAGATCAAACTCTGCTGAGATATGGACACTCATGCAATATTTGAAGTATTTGTCAGCTGCCAGGTGAAGTGAACAGAAGGTGGCACCACAAGGCCATACTTGTAGTATATTCCCAGCAGCATCTTCTGTACTAAACAGCTGTTAGTTTTATAGTTTACAATCTAGAAAAAGATAATAATGTAGGAAATATGTTTTGTAGTGGAACTATCACCTTTGCAATGTGATAATTATTCTCAGGAACATTGGATAAGATAAGGATGGGAATTCTGCACATCTGTAATAGTTGTCACCTTGTATTCCTTCATACTGTTGAACCTGTTTACCTGTCCGCTACATTTCATCAGATTCACTGGTTGCAGTAACTAAACATTACGTTTTTTCCATTTCTTTCAAGTATCTGTCATTTTTTGCAGACAAAGTTTTGGAGCAGTAGAGGTAGATGCAGCTTTTGTAAAGAAAAAAACAGATAACTTTTTCTGCATAGAAGCACCTTTACAGAAATGGATATACTGTATGTGTGACCTATCGCTCTGGGCTTGTTGCCTTCTTAGAGGACAAAGGCAGTTGATTATTTGTTTCCTTGTGATAAAAAGTCAGCTATACTTTTTTTATATTTGTTTTTTCCACCTCACCATTGTCTTCCTGTTTGTCGCCTTCTACTTAATTCCTGACATGTTAAAATTACTTGTTTTTTTTTTTAATTCAAGTATATCACCTTTTAAAAAAGTCAACAATGTGCAATGGGTGTACTAACACACACATACGTTCTTCACATGACTGTGTGGGTGAATATATATATTTATTTATATTGTGGTATTGTGTAGCAATCCCACTGTAGAATTGGGTGTTATGATCACCCAGGACTCTCAGCCAAAAGGGCTGAGATGTGTCAGGAAGCGAGGGTTTGTCAGGATTATGCTTGGGATCCTGGAACTGGTAGGTTTCAAGGTGATTCTGGAGGGAAGATGAGATCCCCAGTCTGGGGTCCAGGCTTTAGCAATGGGCAGCACTCGATAATTGCACAGGTGTGCACAGCCATTAAGAAAAGGATGCTGGCTAGGGGAATTAGCTTCTGCTGGGAAAGAGGAACAGACCGTGTTCAGGAGTCAGGAGGACTGCCCCAGAATCTAAAGTGGAGTCAGGTGGTTAGTGTGCTGGAGGCACACTAAGATAGCCAGGGAGGCTGGGAGAGAACTGGTGAGGCTAGGAGAGCTGTGAGCCTGAGGGGCCACCAGTACAAGTGGGGGACAGCACTTCAAAGAGGACCAGTGGGTCAGAAGTGCTACTGTTTAAATTGGACGCCAGGAGGCTATTCTTGTGTTTGTTTTGAAGCCTTACATGAAAGTTATGCTGAACAACCCCTGCGAGGGTATACAAGATGGATATATCAACTTTGTTTTGAGTAAACGTGGGCTACTGAGCCCTTAAACCGAAGATATTGCGAGTAGACAGCATTCTTAAGCGCTTACCATATGTGCTAATATTACCGAACATCGCAATATATATATGTATATGTGTGTATATATTTTATACTGTTTGAGTTTGAGCACAGACCCTTTTAATACATTCTAAGTAAGCCGCTTGCATGGAACCATTTACCATTTTGTTACCAGAGTAGGGCTTGAGCCAAGAGGGATCCTTTTCTGACACAGTTGGCCATTATGAACACATATTGCAATATATGCAAATCAAGGATTCTTTTTTTCAATGCACCGCTTTACTAGAGTTGTGGGAGGGTGCAGAGGGGTAACAGGATATTAGAAGCATATGATAAAATCATATGAAAAGACATTGGATGCTCCCTCCAGATTTTTCCATCGTTCCATAGTAATGGCTAGGCGTGCCTTCTATGTTTGTATTATCTCTGTAAAATTTCCCTTAAGGTGGCCATACACTTTACAACCATCGCAAGACCTTAGTGTGATAATCTCACAGTGTATGGGCACCTTTAGGACTCATCTAGACAAATGTTGTCATATGCTGCATTTGCTATCTGATGTCTGATCGTAAATGAATACGTTTAAATGGCAAACACAGCGTTTGTCAGGAAAAGGCCGCATTTGACTTTCTTTACCTGAGGTTTAAATGCACCTCAGAAGGACATGTTGCACCCAAACAAACGCCGCGCAATGCAAAGCAGGTCAAACACGACCTCTGAACTGCTATGTGTACTGCTCAATTAAAGTCAATGGGATTTTGTAAACCTGCATTTGACGTGTGTTTCAAACTCAGTAAAACAACGTCTGACACGAGCCCTTAGAGATTCTGTACCATCAACGGTGTAATGTGCGGGTGTGTATCTAACGATGGAGGTTCTTGCATTATTATTATTATTATTATACAGGATTTATATAGCGCCATCAGTTTGCACAGCACTTATACACTGAGTGGCAAGATTATTATGACCACCTGACGTTTGTAGGCAAATTAGCTATGATTTCGCAACAGTAGAAGTGATTTTTTTCTGAAGATATGGGTAAACAACGCGATTTAACAGCCTTTGAACGTGGGATGATTGTTGGCGCTCAGAGCCATGGAGCGAGTATCGGCAAAACAGCAGAATTAGTTAAATGTTCAAGAGCAGCTGTTGTTAAGGCCCCATTTTGAGCGATATTGCGCGACGAGCGATATTGACTTTTTCCTATTGGGCTGTATGCAATCAGGAGCAAAATCGCTTGAAAAAAGGGTCATGTAGGAGCGACAAGCTACCAGCGACGAGCTACAAGCGATATTGAGCGACGAGATGTGAACAGCTCCATTGAAATGGATTGGAGAAGCTACATAGAGTGATATCGTGAGGAAATATGAGCGATATCGCTGCAAAAATCGCTCGATAAATCGCTCAGTGTGAATGGGGCCTTAAGTGTTTAAAAACTGGACTGTCAGCCGAAAATCTGGGTCTGAACGTGTGAATTGTGGCCGTCAGCGACTAGTCAATGTTAGGGCAGAACGGAGAGTGGCAAGACTGGTACAAGACAACAGAAGGGCAACAGTGCAGTGTCAGATTCCTCGCATCACCTTTCAACATCTCATGGAGTCACGAGGTGGCCCAACGAAGTACTGATGGGGTGGTCATAATACTCTGGCCACTCAGTGTATATGTGTTTGTAAATCTACAGCAGATTGTAATGTCTGTAATCAGCTTCACAGACTGAATGACATAACAAACAGGATTGCTTTCTCCAAATATAATACATTGAGTAACATGTAGAATCTACGTAGAGATCATTTCTCAATGAGCTGCTGAAACATTTGCTGTAATATGAATCTCTTGTTTTGTTTTTTTAAGCCAAAAGACATTGCTCATTTTTGGGAACTTGGAGGGGGAATATCTCTTACGGATTTAATAAACATACCCATCACCATTGAGAACATTCGGTAAGTGGTGCAACTTAGGGGCGTCTGTAGATTTTCTTGCTGAGGTGATGGTGAAGGGGAGATGCGAGGCGTCTTGTCAGGAGCTCGGCGGGACGTGGGCAAGATCGTCCCAGGTTGCTAAGAACTGGGAGGAGAGATGTGTAAGGCCCTTTACACATCTCACCACCTTGCTCCTTGCAACCCCGGAAAGAGGGCGACAGACACACTGCAAACATTGACACATATGCGTCTGCCTGCTGCACCCACGAGATGCCACCTGAGGCAACAGCCTCAGGCTGCCTCATTATAGGCTTGGCCCTGGCAATACTTATGCAATTCTTATAGAATTAGTGCAGCTTAAAATGTACTATCCTGGCCAAAACCATCAGTGAGGAGCTAACATTGAACTGGGAACAAGGTTCTCCATTTTGTCTTTCATTTCCCTCCTCTACTAAGGAATGAAATGTTAATAGGGATGCACTGATACCGATACTTGTATCCAGTATCAGTGTCGATACTGAGTGTGCCCAAATGCTCAGATACTTACCCTGACACCGGAACTTCCAGTCAGAGGGAGATTCCCTCTGACCGGTAGTGCCACGAGGGAGCATGGAGCCAGATTCCCAGCCAATCAGGAAGCCGGGCAGCGGGTCATGACTCACCTCCAAGCTTCCTGATTGGCTAGGAAGCCGACTTCACTTGTTGCTAGGCAGCCTGGCTTCCTGACCATTTAGGAAGATGGGCGGCATGTCATGACCCGCCTCCCAGCTTCCTGATTGGCTAGGAAGCCAGGCTGCCGAGCAACAAGTGAAGCCTGCTTCCTAGCCAATCAGGAAGTCGGCTGCCTCGGAACATGAATTCAATGTTCTTTTGACAGAACACCATCTCCCCAGGCAATCAACAAGCCGGGCCTACGGTACCCCGGGAAAGGGTATCAGTGCATCCTTAAATGTTAATATAGGCTTTGTTTTCATTGCTTAGTTTCTTAAGGGTATTGTGCTTGCTTGCCTGTTGGTAAAAGTTAATTTACTTTGTACAAGCATGTGTGCATTATGTTTTAAGCAACCCTGTTGAGTGGGGTGATAAAATGTCAACCAAAGACTCCTGTAAAGGAACAATATCCTTACCTAGTCTGGTGCCTGTTTGTAGCATCTTCTCTTCAGCGCTACACTGCTCTGAAGAATCTTCACATCCAACACACTTCCAAATTTGTTTGACTCCTCCGTCCCCTGCTGCACGCTTTGGTTCTTCCCACCGATCCTTATGATCTATAGTGATGTAGGAGTGTGCCGGAGGAACCATGGCGCATGCTGTGCGGCTGTAGTAAATGTTCTGTTCTTCTGCATGCTTTTCGGATCTTGGCTTTGACTTTCCTGACTTTGGGTACCCATAGACCTGAGACCAGAGTTGCCCAGAGGGCCATTTTAATGCATTCCCTCTGGACTAGGAGGTGGTGAATGGGTAGGGTTTTGCTCTTGGGGGTGCACTTAGTTATATAGTGAAATCAGAATCCCAAGGGAACCTCAGAAGAGGCTTTTGTAAATTAAATGTTTGCAGCCAGTACCTTTTTTCAGAAGATCTTTTAAACATGTAATATAGTGAACAAGTGACATATAAAAAGAACAATGCTAACCATCTTGTCCTTTATAAGAAATCTCTGTGCTTTCAAAACCATCTGAAGTAATGGTCCAGGAAAACAGCTATCAGCACATTACTCCAGTCTTTATCCCCCAAGCACAGCCTGATGGTCCCCCAATTTACTTCCTTGTAGTTGAGAAAAGGTGAGTCCCCCACCCTGATCCAATAATGTAGTGATCTACCCCTGTGCATGTGTACAGGGATGTCAGGTTGCATCTTTTATTTTTTCAGTACTGACCCTGATTAGATCAATGTAGTAAAGGCGACTCCTCCCACTTAGCAATCAGTTCTCTATATGTACTTGTGCCTAGTGTCTCTGAGGAACAAAGTAAGGAGATTCCCCTCATTTTCAGAGATTTCCTCTAACTTCCTGTTGCATCTCTGTAACAGGAAGCAAAGGGAAGATTACGCAATGGTACACCGAGCAAAAAAATTACTTGACAAGTTTTATCCCTTACCTACTCTATCACAAAGGAAATCAAGTTTTGACTATAGATACACTTTATAAAGTAATTGCTAATCTGTAGTAAGTGTGAGAAACACAACGTCTTCCGTTATATCTTATCACTATATAATGTCGACCATTTTGAATCATTTCTTATGCGTACAGTTATTATTTTTGCTTATGTTTTATAAACTCAACCAATTTCCTTTTTCTTCCTCTATAGGACATTTTCTATAGTACTTGTTCTTGATCTCTCAAAGCCCAGTGAACTTTGGCACACAATAGAGAAGCTATTACCAGTCACCAAGCACCACATAGATAAAATTATAGGTGACATTGGGAAGTCCAACTCCAAGGCGGCCAATCAGATTGTGCAAAATGTTTGGAGAAGTTTTCCAAATAACCATCCGGTATGTATATAATATAGTGAGGACTTGTTGACTTGTCACCCGTTTCCTGATATAAATAATCCCACCCTCATCCTCCTTAGATCTATACTTACTGAGATCCAAGGGCCACTGCTCTGCTTTTTGTTGACATCCAGCACTGCAAATCTCCCTCTCCTGTCTGTGTCCATCTAAGTCTCTTAGAAGTCTATGGGGCTGTAATGTGTAGGTGCGGCCAGCAGAGGGAGCTATGCAGCACTGGAGGAAAACAATAGCAGAACCGTGCCTGTTGGATCTCTGTAAGTATGGATTTGCAGAGGGGGAAGGGTTTAGATAGAGGCAAAGAGAAAAGGTGTACTTGTCCTTTAAAGTGCACGTGTGCTTTCTCAGAGTATCTAAGGAGTGAAAGTATTGTGCATCCATCAAACATGAACATTTTGCATTTTAACACACGCCTGCCTGCTGAGTGTCTCTTGGTATTACCTTGCTATGCTACTGGTTTTCATGCTTTCTTATCCCCTATGTTTGCCAGTACCCTTGTTTTTCTACGTTTTTGAATTTAAAGTAAGCTAAAGAGAACCTGTCATTCGCTTTGAATATGTAAATCTATATATATTTCTGTAAGGTCTACTTTTACTTCCTTTGTCCAGAAAAGCCTTGGAGGTTGCGCTCTTGTTTTTTCCATGTGCAAGTGGGGCCTGGGACTTTGGGTTTAAGTCCCACCTACCTGTTGGCACCCGGAGAGTACCCAACTGGTTATTCAAGGCCCTCTTATTGGACAGGGGAGCAATAGGCAGCCATGATCATTGTCGAAGGTGTAGCTTAGACTACCTTCAGTAAAAATCCCAGACACAATGATCAGTGTAACCAGAGATACAGTTGGTTGACATTAAATGCACTTTTCTTGTAAAATTGAGCTTGTAAAATTGATTTGCATTCTCCTTGAATATAACCTCTGCTTCATTAAATACTTCATTTGAACAGGTTTTTGACAGGTTCTCTTGAATGGGCATGCTGAAGTTACCACAACTTAAAAGCTGACTGATAGATTCTTCTTGTTTCTTAAAACATTCCTTGCAGTAGTACTGACTGATTTCATTCTGTTGTGACTTTTTTTTTTTTTTAAATCAAACAGGACAGACAATTGATTGATCCATTTCCATTGCCCTTACTCATAATCGGAAGCAAATATGATATATTTCAGGTAAGCTTTGTACTGTAGTGTGGGCTGCTCCGGCATCCCTGGTCAGAGCATCAAAAGTTACATTGGAAGTAAACTTTATTGGTGGGGGTGAACTTTTTGCATATTCTACAAATATGAACAGACCTGGGTATTATGGCACACATCTACTCCCTTCTGCAGCGATGATGGGACCTGCTCTCCACTGGCCACCACCATCTCCACTGCCGATTATTTGGCTCCCATGGTGATCATCTTCAGCCGTTGGTCGGCCACTGATGATGTAACTCCTGCACATGCACACAGGAGTTATATTGTCCCCAGCCCATTACCAGCAACTGGTGGGAATGATCTTAAGCTGGCCATACCCTGTTCTATTTTTTTTTTCCGTTCAACCCAAGGGATGAACGAAAAAAATAGAACAGATTCCTTCATCAATGCTAACGGCCATACATTTGCATAATGTATGGCCACCTTAAGAGTATATATTGCACTGCACATCTGCTGTACAGTATACACTAGGGATGCACCGATACTAGTATCGCTATCGGTGCCAATACCAATTTTTTGGGAGTACTTGTACTCGCCTAAATGCTCCAATACCTTCCCCAATACCTTACCTCTGACCAACAGTGCCGTAGGGGTACATGGAGCCGGCTTCCTGGGCAATCGGCAAGTAATAACCCACCTCCCAGCTTCCTGATTGGCTGGGAAGCCAGCTCAATGCTGATTGGCTGGGAAGCCGGTTTCCCGGCCAAACAACATGGAGTCGGCTTCCCAGGCAATCAGGAAGCCCGGCAGCATGTAATTACAGCCAAAGTATCGGCGAGTACCGAAAGCAAAATATAGGTACTCAATACTGAAAAACCGGTATCGGTGCATCCCTACTATACACAGAAGATAAAAATATGCTTTTTTCTTAGAGTTTAATTCCACTTTAAAAACTCAACCATTCCAGGCCTGTAACTATATCAGGCAGATGGCCATTTAACGCCACTTTGTTAATTAAAGGGAAAATGTATTTGATGAAGACGTCCGTTCATATGTATTACCCATCAAAATCCCAAACTGCACTTTCAAAAAGTTTTGTAACTCCTTTACTGTGTATTATATAGTTATGATAATTACATTGTATGTTTAGTCATAACTTTTTTTTTTTTTATTTGAATAACTATTTACAGTATATAGTTATTTGTACTATTTATTATTGTAAGAATGTGGAATAATTATAATTGGGGGCCTTACTCTTCTCTTCTTCAGGTAGTATAACCTTTATTTATTTTTTTGATACATTGGTCTAATTCCATATCGTCTACTCGTTTCAGGATTTTGAATCAGAAAAACGAAAAATTATATGCAAAACTCTCCGATTTGTATCTCACTTTTATGGAGCCTCTCTGTTGGTTTGTATTGTAAATTGATTTAAAGGTTTGAGAAAGTGTCCTTGTTAGATGAATTGCTTCTTTGAAAGAACAAATATGTATCAGACAGATCTATAGAACATACACTTATAAGTTAGATAAGTGGTTACCAGAAAACACTATAGGCTCAATTCACAAAGCTTTTACACCAACCTCAGTCATGTGACTGTAATTTTCAAATGATTGGGTTCAATGGAAGTGGTATAATGGAATCTGACTTCTATTATGTAATCCCAAAGAAGGGAACTAACCAGCTGACACTTTGATACTCCCGCTCTGTCATACTGTAGCTGCTTGTATAGTGCAACAGGCTGCCATGTTACAGAAATTGTAAATATCATTCTCTGTGATGTAAGTGTGAATACTATTATTAATACACTTCTCACATTACACACCTGCTGCTTTTTATTTGAGGTTTAGCGTCTCTTTAAATCATTTTAATTGACAATCATGGTTTGTAAAAAATACATTATTATTATTATTAGACATTTGGTTTGGGTACTAAGCCAGTGTGTTTTCTGAAAGCTCATTATAATTACTACTATTATTAATATTTGCATGCTCCTGGGGCAATCAATTTCAGTTGTAGGAACGTTCTGTTTATACTGAATACTCTGAACTTGGTTGCTTGGGTCATTGAAACCAAGCAAGAATCATAGATGTATCATAGCAATCAGTGCTGATCAGGTCCCCTGGAATGAAGTTATTAAAGTTTTTTTGTTTTTTTTTAAATGAACCCCGGGCAGGTATTAAAAACCACAAATAAATAGAGTTTGCATTTTAAATGTACACCCGAAATTGACTTAATATCAGCCTCTTGCAATGCATCATATGCTGACAGCAAATGAGAGCAGAGAGGTGACCTCATCAGTCTGCTGCTTCTCTTTCACTGTCTAGTCTCAAGCTGGGGAAAAGGAGGTGACCTAACTGTTTTCTTTAACTGCAGCAGAGAAAAGTCAGGTCTCCGGGCTGGCAGTGCTATGTAATTGTGCTGTTTACATCAAAGGACTAGGTGAATAGAAATACAAATCTTTTCACATGCAAATATACTCTCATATACATTTCAAATGTGTATTTAACTGTTGGCCTGGAGTTCAGCTAAGTGTCTAAGACTAATGTCCTTAAATAATCTTTAAACCTATAACTAGAATAGAATATGATAAAAGGCAACCTTATTGACTAAGGATACTTGAATTTGCGAAACTTTTGGGCTCAATTTGCAGTGCCATTCACTCTGTGAATCCCTGTGAACGTTTGTTCTGTGAGAATAGAGGAAAAAGAAACATTCTAAGTATAATTTTATTTTCAAGTTGAATGCAACATTTGGAAAATAACACATTATGGCCACTAGATGGAGCTGAGGAGCATAGGAAATTGAATACTTTTTTACTTTGCTCATCAGCTTCATCTAGTAGCCATAATGCAGTATTACATTACATTCAACCTGAATTGAAAATATATCAAGATTTTTAATTTTTGTCCCTATTCACACAGAATGAACATTCACAGGGACTCACAGGGTGAATGGGACTGCAAATTGTTTATAAATAGACTATTGGGCCCACTGGGAACAGAACCAAATGATCCAGACAGTCTGTCTTAACAAGTTCACCAACAACATAATTCTTAGTTAAACCCTTTTTATTTCAAGGAACTCATCCCAGTTTCTAGGCTGGCTTATTTGATTTATTTCCAGGAAATAAGAAAGTGTCGGTGTCAGACAGAACAGAAAGTTAGAGGAAACCTTCTCTCTGGGGCCACAGGCAGTAATAATAAATGAAATCCCCTCTCTATTTCATGTCTAACTTGATGAATATTAATAATAGGAGCTTGCAGTAAAATACGTGAATCACTAATGAACATATTGATGTAGGAAAGCTTGCTCTTTCACAGCATGATATCATCTATTCTTTTTCAGTTCACAAGCAAATCTGAAACCCATAAAGGAGTCATGCGTTTGTTTGTGAATCACTTGGCCTTTGGACAAGACAAGAGGTAAAGAAAAAAAAGATTCTTAAAAAAAAAAAAAAAAAAGATTTTTAAAGTGTAGAATACGTTGTTATTGTGTTAATGTATTGTTATTGTTTTATATGTGTTTGTACTTTAGCCAGGTGGAAAGGAGACAATGCATATAAATATTTTACATATACCACTTACATCCAGGAGCAGACGCTGCCTAGAGGTTCCTCTCTACCACAACGGCTGGAATCTGTATTTGGAAACTACAGATTAAAAAATATAATACATTTGTTTATAAACATGTAAACTACTGTATACATTGCAAAGTTGTTTTGAAATGTTTTCTACAGACAATTACCAGGTTCTGTCCTGTAGATAATGAGATAGGCGATTCCAGTGCAGTGACTCCAATCTTTCTGAATGTAATGCCCCCAATATCCCTTTGTGGATGTGGTGTGCCAAAAGTAAAAGTGGTCTATTTATAACCAGTTCACAGAGCCATCTGCCCTACAAATCTTTCTAAACATTTTGTTCTGTGTGAATAGACACAGAAACAAATTATATTATATATATATATTTTCTTTTCAGGGCAATTGTATGTCATTTAATACTGCATTTGACCACTAGGTGGAGCTGAGGAGCATAGGAAATCAATACTTTTTTCCTATGCGCCTCTAGTGGCCAAAATGCAGTATTACATTATATACATTGGACCGTAGAAGAAAATATATCTGAGAATGTTCGTTATTGTGTCTATTTACACAGAATGAATGTTCAGTAAGATTCGTAGGCTGAATGGCTCTATGAATCGGTTTTAAATAGACCCCAATGTATATAAGTGTGACAGTTCTTTTTCTTGCTGTGATGTTTTCACTTTGATATTATTTACTGATGGATGATAACTATTTGGTAATAGTAGAGGTTAGGTTCTGGTTAGGATTTAGGTGATTTCTTATAGGTTGAGGGTTGCTAAGTGACTATTAATTCCAGGCAACAAGTGAAACCAATCAGGTACTTATAGGAGTCCTCATATGTTCAGTGGGACTGTATTTCCCTAAAGCAGAACTGTTTAATTTTTAATGTAAAATTTCCCCTCTACTTGCCATAATTCATAAATATTCCATTTTAGGGCATACAATAGACCGTTATCTGTAATGTAGATGTGTGTGCTGAAATGAATGCCAAGGGTTTTAACTTGAACATCACAGAAAGAAAGTGATCAAATGGCAACAGCAGAGGCACGCTAGAAATAGGGTCAAGCTATCTCTCCAGCAGAGCTGAATGTGTAAGCGCTCGGCTTTTCTCCTGTAATGGGAGGTCTGAGACGGGAACAAGTTAGGTCTGTATGGATTTTATCTGCGAAATGATGAGAATGGCTGTAACATGCTTTTCCTTTTTGCCTGCCGGAACAAATAAAAGGATTAAGTGAAGGGCAGTGGTAATCTTTGAAGGATTTCCTGTGACTTCAGTCATCGTGTTGCTATGGAACGCAGTTCAGTTTGCCAAGAATGTACATCAGACTGGAGGGTCGGCTATGGTGGGAAGGGGAGTCATAGAATACAAATGGAGGAAAGAGAATGAAGTTCCTTTATAATCTGGATTCATGGTGAAGATCAGTATTTCTCATTTCTCATCTCAGCGAGGTCTCATTCACACGGCAGTAATGTGCCAGCTGCAGAAAGAATCTAGCCGATTCCTGTGGTTGGATTCATAGGTGGAAGCCGGTAGTTGTGGCCGCTCAGGCTGGACAAACAATGACAGGCTGACTGATGCCGCAGCTGTCTACTGGTGTTCAGATGTTATCCCTTGAGGGAGAGATGATCGCCCCAGGACACAAACAACTTGCATCCAGGGGTGATAATCTGTCCCTAACGGTAGGTAATATCTCAGAGTGTGATTACATCCAAACACCGGCAGACAGCTGCAGCTCCTGTCAGCCTGCTTTGTACAGGCTCAGCGGCCGCAACTATCCAATTCGCCTGTGAATCCAGCTGCAGGAATCTGCCAGATTCTTTCCCCATTTGGCACTTTTGTTTGCCATTTGCCGAAGGCCGCTTTCACACGGGGCATTCTGGGATTCCTGCAGCTGGAATCCTAGGTATCCCATTCAGATGCGACACCTGAATGGGACTTCAATGTACCCATTGAAGTAAACGACAGGGTGACAGCAGCCACATCTGTCAGCAGCAGTCCGCATGTATTAGATAGATGATTGTCCCTGGATCCAGAATAGATGCGTCCGAGGACAATCATCTATATCAGAAATGTCCCCAGCACACCAGTGGATGGTGTTCAAAAATAAAGCGTCTTTTATTCACGCATATTTGTCACGTCAAAAATTGCAATGTTGTACTGCCGCACAGGGTCCCTTTCATCAGCCTTAACATGACAATCAGGGTAAGAAACCAAAACCATATATACCAACTCTGCTTTCCACTCTCTGTAGAGATTAAGTAGGTCACCCTGCTCTTCCCTCTTAGCAGTGACTCAATAGTTTAGCTCATTCCCCCTACCCCAGTTCCCCCCTAGCATTGACTAGCAGCTCCTCCCTCCCAGCCTTCCATCCTCCTAATCTCAAGAGTAAACATAGAGCAGGAGTTCTGGGAGGGGGTATGGAGTGACATGCTGCTGAAAGAATGAATCAAAAGACTAGTGCATCTGCTGTGCTCTTTGCGGATGAATTGTTCCGCAATGTCTGCGGTTACAGCTATCTGTGAGATCATGTTATAAAGCTCATTTACTGCTTGCTAAGATTAAGTAAACATTTGAATTTTCATTTCTTTGCCACAATTTCAGCTTTTTTATATCTTTGTCAGATTCCAGTAGCCAGGAGTATCATAGCTATTACTAGGTAGACAACCTTTGTGGCTGCATTTAGCAAAGGGTGAAATAGTGATTTTGCTTTAGCAGTCTATCAGAATTTGTCATTATCACTGTACTGGAAGAATGTCACAGTCTGACTTCTGTGGGAAAGCCGCCTCTTTTTTTCCAGCTCTTTATTGTTCTTTGCAGCATACCTTACTTCATGGTTTTAATTTTTCAGCAAACTGGTGTCAGTTGATCACAACAAGCCACTGGTCATTCCAGCAGGATCGGATTCCTTCAGCCAGATTGGTGAGTTCCCTCATCATTGTTTATACCTTTCTTTTAAAACAAGGTATAACGTAAAGCAGCTAAATCTCCTCTGATATTTAGGATCACCCCCTGCCTCTGAGAGTGAGCTGAGACAAGTCCATGTGCGCACTCCAATTGAGTTATGGAAGAAGATATATGAAAGATATTTTCCTCCCAAGGTAAATTGCAACTTTTCTCAATACATTTTTTTTCCCATAGGGGGTGCTGTTCTCTCTCCCTCTCTCTCTCTCCCCCTCCCTCCCTCTCTCCCTCTCTCCCTCCCTCTCTCCCCCTCTCTCTCTTTCTCTCTCCCTCTCTCTCTTTTCTCTCTCCCTCTCTCTCTTTTCTCTCTCCCTCTCTCTTTTCTCTCTTTCTCTCTCCCTCTCTCTTTCTCTCTCCCCCTCTCTTTCTCTCTCCTGTGCTGGCCAATGAGAAGTGCTTCTCAGTTCAATACGGTTTTGGTTAAAATTATTTTTTTGCATTAGGACAAGTAGATTGGGTCCGGCACATGAAAACTGTGAGTGCCAAGCCATTCTTTGTTACCATTGTATATGTTTCACATCAGTGATTAATAAAGTATTGAAGCCACAGGGTCAACAGGACAGCCAGTCAGCTAGCATCTCCTTTAGGAGGGATCAACTTTGGCAGCCTCTATATTTTTCTCAATATGAGTTTCACTTAGGTGGTCTATTTATAAACTAATGTTTGCTCTGTGCAGATATATGCCAAAATGAATGTTCTTTAGTTGTATTTTCAATAAAAAAAAAAAATAATACCACATGATAGCCACTAGATGGTGCCGAGGAGCATAGCTTATTTCCTATGCTCCATAAAAACGTTCCAACATGCATTGAAAAAAACACTAAAGAACATTCATTTTGACATATATATTCGCACAGATTGATATTTCCGGGGCGAACGCCCTGCAAATTGTTTATAAATTGACCCCTTAGTGTCAAAACTGTTATTGAAAAAATATTCAGTCAGTAGTTGCACTCTTTCACGGCCATGGTTAGCTTTAGCAAATTATTAAAAAAATTAACAAAAACAATCATGAAGTTACCGACTGAAAAGTGAATAAAACCAGTCAACTGGCATCCAGCTAAACTTTAATAGCTTTGTAATACTAATTTTTTAAAAAGCATATTGTCTGGCCAAATACAGATCTGATTGTAACCTTATCTGCAATTATGATTAGCTTTATTGCAGTTTTATAGTACAGGGCAATAATGTCAATTTGACATGTTTCATATGTTCAAGGCTGTGCGCAAGGAGGACACCCAACAAAAACACTTTCTAAAAAGGTTGCTGTGGCTCTCTGCATAGAAAAGGTGCTTGACCCCATAGGAGGCCATCATCACAGGATGACTTGCATATTATGACTATGTATAGAAAATTGATGGACGGTATATACAGTACATTTGGATTTAAATAGAACTATAGTCATAGATGTTGGTTATGTGTTTAGATGAAGCACTGAGATCTTGAGGAATACTGTATTAAGTTTTACTTGCTTAGAAGAACATTACACGTAGTAATACAGCATTGTGAAGAAAACAGAAAAGGAAAAAAAAAAGGTTCCTGTGTATCATAGATAAGCATGGACATAGAGATTAACATTGCACTACACTGCCATCTACAGCTCAAAAGACCTATTACAGTACATTAGTATATGGTGTTGTATTTCTTTCCAACAATAGCGTATGAACTAATTACATTTGGTAATATTTCTGGTAACTTTGTACTGAAAGGAGAACAATGTGGTGAGTGATTTCCACTCATCCTCATCAAGCCAACGTGTGACAATGAAACTGTCACACGTCGGCTCAATAGATGGGGAAGTGAGCGAACACATACTGTCTCTCACTCACTTTCCAATCATCTCCCTGCAGAGAGCGGTGACTGCCAGTCACCGCTCCCTGCAGGGATTCACCCCCCTCACCTCTCCGTACCTCCAGCGCTGGATGGAGGAACGGACGGGGGAGGGGGCGGGTACGGCTGGCTCTGCCTCTAGATAGGCACAGCCAGCTGTCTCTCACGCAGATGGGTGGATCTCAAGAGTATTGCTGGGATCTTCCCCGGCTGCGGCACTCTCAGTATATTGGTCATGATTGTTGAGAGCACCCATCGTAGTTTGTAAGTTTGTAAGGCTTAGGTGGCAGAAGGTTCGATATCTTGTGGAGCATGTTGGAGCACCTTGAGTTTTAAAGCTCTAAGCTCTAAGCGCTCGGCAAGGGATCTGATAGTATGTGTTGCCACTTCAATGTACCTGTTTTTCAGGTCTTGTGTCACTTTACTAGCTTTAAACACACTTATGCATATGTACCATACAACTAAATGTGATTTTCTTCTATTATGTAGAAAACAGATGACATAAAAGACGTGAAGGACCCAGCAAAAGATCCACAGTATGCAGAAAGAGATGTCGATACTATGAGGGCCCAAAAGGATCAGGTATGTGTCAGTGTAACCTTAAGTAGATTTCCAGGAGAGGTAACTATCGGTCAGCGATGGTTATCTACACAGCCATGCACAGGAGTGGAAATAACTGTTTCAGAGCTGATGCTGCCTTATCAGCCACAGATAAATTGTGTAACAGTTTACATACCATTCTAGCATGAACCTGTGCCTCAAATACATTCCTGAAAGCTTGTACAATGAAAACATTATTGAGGGTAAGGGTTGGGGGGACAAGAAGTGTTTTTATGCCATAAAAAAAAATCCTGATCCTTTTATATGTGCCTTCTGTATTCCTGCCAGCCACCAGTAAGCTGGTACACATAGAGAAATAGATGCTTGGGATACCTTTTTATATAGAAGTACATTTGAACTGGTAGGATCCTTCATGATCCATTATAGATATTAAATACCAACATAATAAGGAAAAAGGTGAACATTAATTTATGTATTTCCCTTGACTATATTAAAGATATTTTCGTATTTTAAAATTGCACTTATTAACAGATGTGATCATTGGTTCCTTCCTCTTACACTTGTTCCCCCAAGAACAGCTGTGAATTTACTGACTGTAGGAATGACAAGAGTACTGTGGGGACAAGAAGCTTTAAAATGTTATATTAATATAATGTATGCATATTAATGTATGCTATCCCAAATGTTGATTAGTTCATGCCATAACCTGTAAATTAACAAAGTTGTATTGGATTCATTGTATTATATGTTTGTGTTGTGAATGTGATTTGTTATTATTAGTGTTTGCAGCATTTGTGTGATTTTTTTTTTTTTCTCTTTTCTGAAACATAAAAACTTTTCTGATAAAAAGAATGACGTGGAGTCAACAGTTTACTGGCTGTCTTATCTTCTGCAATTCAGGCTGGGCAATTAAAGGTGCCCCAAACTCATTGTTCTGTCCAAAGCTGATATTCAAGAAGATAAAAATATAATTTAATGTGCTTAAAGATTCATTAAAAAAAGATATTTAATTTTTAATGCAACTGTTGTAAATACCTGAATGTGCCATGATACCTGTACTGTAGAACTGGGAGAGGGAGGGTCAGAGCTCTCAACGGTATGATCGCTGGATCGGGTCTGAAGGTAACCATAACGCCAGGCTTCCTGCATTCAGGGAAGGGGGTGAGGAGGCTTTATTAAAGGACACCTTGACTTTAATCATAGATTGTAGAGGGGATGAGGATCAGCTCACCTACAATGAAGGGTTCGCCCCAGGTTTTAAAGAAGCTGACAAGTAAAGGTATTTTCAGGCATGACAAGTAAGGATGGGCTGCATGTTCTAACTAATGACAAGGTGCCCAAACTTTACCTGAAATGTTAATCTGATAGAAAAAATAATAATAACCTATGATAGAATGTTAACCTGATAGAAAAAAATACTTTAACTTATTTTAGCATCAGACCAATACTAGCCTGATAGCAAAATAATACTGTAATAACTTATGTCAGCATTAGACCAATATTAGTGTTCGCTTGATAGAAAAAAGAAATTTCCTTTATGAACTTGTTTCAGCATGGAACCGACAGTAACCCCTCGGTTAACTTTTGCTTCTTCCTTATCATCAGTAAGTTTGCTTTTGGCGTATTCAGCTGATAAGTTTGTGCTTATATTATACAGTACTACGTTTATTGTAAAATGTTTATCATCTCCATACATGATAATCGTTGGTTAAGGTCAATAATCTAGAGTTACCTCTTCAGTTTGTTGTCTTGTGTGCTCGTGGATCCCATCATTTTAATTCATCTCTTAAAACAGTGCAGTGTAAACAGAGTATCACTACTCCCAAGTACTATATAGACTGGTCAGATCGATCTGCCCCTGACTGCTTAATTCTGGATACCATACACAAGGAAAAAATACACACAATTTCCCTGTGCTGGTACTCTTTATTCACCAGTCTGGCCCCACCAGCCTCCTCTGCTACTAGAACACTGCTTCTCAAATGTATTTAGGTTTGTAACCTTGTACAGGTATCTGTGTTAACCAAGTATGCCTTGATGTAATAATAAACAGATTGAGAGCGCTAGTACTGTGTATATAGTATAAAGCTCACTCACGTTTTGGATGTCACTGAGTCTCGGGGAGAGATCCACTGGAATCACTGTGCAAACGTAGCTTTAGCCAAGGACTCAACTGGCCAGGCTGAGCCGCAGCGGCAGTATGAGGTACATGCTGAGTGGATTTCAGGGAGTCAGGTGACTCTGGAGACGGAGCGGTCGCCTAGAAAAACAGGGGCTGGAAAGGGCACCTTTTATTGGACAGTGTAATGACAGTTGGGGCAAGCTGGGAAAAATAAAGCCCTACTTAAGTTATAAATAGAGAGGGGAACAGAGCAGGCTGTTCTGCCTAGCAAAGAGGTGATGATGAGCGATTATGACTTTCTCAAGCACCTTTTTGTCGTGTAGTGGAAACCTGTTGGAAAATCCATGTTCATCCTGTCCAAACCTTTCCACTTCTCTGTAAAGAGAGAGCTTTATAAAATGTTTGCCACTTGAGTCCATCAGATAATCTACAAATAGTGGTGGACACTGCCACTACAAAGGGTGAATACATACGTCTATCGTTGGCTTGTTCAAGATATATAGGGAAAAGCCAGAATGCAAAAGTAATTCTAAGCAATTAGCAATAGGCTTTTTAGTATCTAATCCCAAAATCAAAAACATTAACATATTGTGGCCTAGAAGTCCCTAGATGTGGTGGCCGTTATTGTTACCTGCCGATCCTGCCAGTAAAACACCTCCTGCCCCAGGGTGACAGTGCTCACTCACTGTACTGAATCAATGTAGGGTGAGCAGTGTCAACCTTGGACAGAAAGCGTGTTAGAACTACAGATCCCCTTCCTCTCTCATATCCATAACATAGGGGGAGTTTACTGGACTTCCTGCAAAATCAACAGGTTTTTTTTTTTTGCACTTATCAAACAGCTATGAGAAAACACATTCGATTGTATATTGAACAGACTAAAAGGGAGCAAATTAGTTAATTCCCAGGGTTAGCCTGTACTCTGTTACCTTTGTAACAATAACATGATGTTACATTACTTGAACTGTTTTTTTTAGAATGAGTAATAGATGTGGATTTATTGCTACTTGACAAAGCTGTTGTGTAAATTTATGAAAGGGCTCATTTTTGCTCTTTAGATAGTAAGATAACGATATCTGTGCTGTTGGCAGGGTACAGGTGCCCTTTGCTCAGACATCCTTATGTTTCCAGACATCTCCAAGAATCTGACAGTCATTGACTTCTATTCTTAGGTTTTCTGCTGACGTGTCATTCTGCATATCACTATTGTAAAATGAATTTATCAGAATAGCAGTATATTTATTCCATTGATGTACTTCTTCCAGTGCAGAAATCCAGAGAAACCTGTCCACACAAATGTGGTATCAAAACTTCAGTAAACCTTTGTGGGGCCCCATTATTTACATCAGAGGCATTCGGTTGTGTTATACTGTATTCTTGTGTTGTAATCTTTTGAAGAGATTTTGTAATTCTCATTTATTGCAGGTTTTTTTTAATTTTATTTAGTTGTTCATTTTGTTTAAACATCCTCATGTTTGAGTTTATTTTATTATAGGACATTTATAGTCTTTTTTTTAAATCTGCACACTGCTCCAGTTAACAGAGTTCTCCCTTCCTGAGCAGTGCTGTTGAATGGGATAGTGTGCAGGGGGGCATTTGGGACCACTGGAGACCCACGCCACTGCTTGTGTATTTTAAAAATTGCTGCAGCACTTAGCAACTACAAAAAGCAGATACAAAAAAATATAAACAAGCTGCAAATGTATTATTACTTTTATTACTATATGCAGCCCGACATCATTACAGTAATACACAACGAGGATTCGGTTGGGTTTTATTACATGTTATTGATATCAGCATACTGTAAATAATTGTATCAGAGTGTGTTAATGTTCTAAAAACCTTGTTCCTACTATTGTTGGGTCATAACTAGGGATGTTCAGATACTAAGTACAGAACTCGGTACAAGTACATGTACAGATACTTTCCCAGCTGCAAGACTAAACTAGAGAAACATTCAGAAGTTAGGAGGCAGCTGTCATTTGTAAGATGCACACGGAGTTCCTGGGATTTGTACATCTCTGTTTTAATATATGATTTTTTTTTAAAATAAAGGGATGCACCGATACAATTTTTACAAGTACTGATACTTGCCCAAGTACTCACAGATACAAGTACTGATACATGTTTGTTTATTGTCATGTGACAGTTTTCCTAAAACAATACAGACTAATGATTTCAGGACAGTGGTGTAGCGCCAGAGCCAGGTCCCACCTGCAACCGCTGCAACCCTGGTAGTTCTCGTGAAAATGCCAAGTATCTGCACTGGCATCTGAACATCTCTAGTCATAACCTATACCGCCTCTTCTTCCTGGTTGTGCCTTGGTGAAAGTCTACAAGACAGGGTCTAACTATAGCTGACCACCCACATCTCCACAGCCAATCCCTCCTAAATGGGGCAAGATTCAAACAGTGGGTGGCCCCACCAACATTTTTCAGTTTATTTTGTTAAAGGAGGCGGGTGGAATATTATCAGCTGAACAGTTCCTGCATGTAGTCAGATGCTGACACTGTTCGTATATTCCAACAGCAGTGGTCGCCCGGCAGGGGACATTCGTCCATCCACACTGATAAGCGTGGATGGAGGAGTCCATTAGTTTCTATCATTCAGCCCGCAGGCTTAATGAAATAAATCTATGTATGTATGTATGGCCAGCTTAAGTAAAAGCAGTAGACTTTTTTTCAGTCTCTAATAATGTGAAAGACACAAATAGCCTTGTACCATGTGATCCAGACTGCTAACCTTAGGTCACACAAATTAAGTTTTTTCTTTCTTTTACTCAAAATATTATGATTTGCTAATGCTGAGTTATGCCATACTTATTCACATGGAATGATGGCAAACAGAGACCAAGTGGCCTGTTGAGCCTGCAGCTCTTCTTTCTTTAAAAAAAAAATTGGGATTTTTTAACCTATGTTTATCCCAAGCATTCACTTACTAATAATTGGCTCGCTACCTCTGCTGGAGGTCTGTTTTAAAAATTCACTACTCTTTTAGTCAAATAATACTTTCTATTAGGGATGCACCAATACTGGTTTTTCGCTATTGAGTACAAGTACCAATATTTTTTTCCCCGCTGCTCGCCGATACGGAATACCGATACCGGAAGTCCCATTAAGGAATTGGCCGGGAAGCCGGACGGCGTGTAAAGACTTGCCACCCGGCTTCCCGATTAGCAGGCAAGTGACGAGGGAGCATGGAGCCAGGATTCCAGGCCAATCAGGAAGCCGAGCAGCGTGTAATGACTCGCTTCCCGATACAGGAAGCTCAGGTATTGGGCTAGGCATCAGAGCATTTGGGCGAGTACAACTACTCACCCAAATACGGCACCAATACCGATAATGGTATCCGTGCATTCCCTACTTTCTAAGGTTAGTTTTGAACTTTCCTCCTGCTAGTTTGAGGCCGTGCACCATGTTCTTGATCTTAGCTTCATACTGAAAATACTGCCCTGCCGAACCTTAATCACACCCTTCATGTATTTACAGGTTTCATTCATCTCCTTTCTTCATATATTTTATCCTTCAATAAGAAAACATATCTAAAACTTTCTTCCTTTTTTTTTCCTTGAAGGAGCTTGAACAATACAAAAGAAATGCTGACAAGTCCTGGAAGTCGATGTCACTAGGCTCTCATACATGATATCTATGGATTTGTGTTCTTCTAGGCTAAGTGTATTTTTTAAAATGATAAATAGCTGTAAGAAATGTTTGTTTCCTACATATGTGTGCAATAAATTCTTCTTTATAACTTGCATTCTATTCATGCGTTTCAAGCCCCAGTGATACTCATTTGGAGGGAACTGTTACTCTCAAACCTCCTATGAACTGATGTATAAAGAAATGGAGCCTAGGAATGGGTTTGTTGCACATAACAACCAATTACACATAAACATGTCACAAAAAGTTGACGTTCATGTGTAGTTAGGATGATTTGCATAAGAAGTTGTGTTGAGGGTACGTTAGCGCAGCATATACCGTATTTTGCGGTCCATAAGACGCACCGGACCATAGCACGCAGGGAGGTCCGGCACGCCTTATGGAGCACTCGAGACTGTAGCTTCTGTCACAGCTTCTATGACAGAAGCTGTGACAGAAGCTGCAGTTAGTGACCGCTGAGACAGGTGGCGCTGTGATTACAGCGCCATGGTCTCAGTGATGACACAGAGCAGGCAAAGAACGTCTATTCTTCGTCTGCTCTATGGTTATCGCGATCGTCGCCGCTGCTCGGCTTTAATACGAGTGATCTCGTTAGATCACTCGTATTAAACGAGCAGTGGCTCCTACTACTCGCCCGGCGCCCGAAACTGCATGTCTCGGGCGTCGGGATTCGCTCCATAAGACGCACGCTTTTTTTCCCCCTCCTTTTGGGGGGAAAAAAGTGCGTCTTATGGAGCGAAAAATACGGTAGATCATTATTTTGTAGCACACTTACTGTTAAATGAATGTAAAGTTTAAGGGAGCACTGTGTAGAATGTAAGCTTTAAATGCTAAATTTTGCATAGTGATAATGGAGGCAGAATTACTGCTATGCTGTGAACAGTCTGTTGTGAATAAACCAGAATAGCAGGAGATCAGCTTATATATATACACACACACACACCTGAATAACTAAGAAGAAAGAGGCTCCTAACAAGCATGCAGGCGATGCTAGGGTTTCTTATATAGCAATTAGCCCCTGCAGTGCAAGTATGAAGGAACTTAATAAATCTTTTATTGCTCTTACTTTAAAAGTGGATGATGTGGAGAAATGCTCCAGATGCAAACACTTGCATTATGTGTGTTTCCCCAAACCCTCTCTGGAAATGTTTCTGTAAAATTGGATAAAGGATTACAATGACTAGGCTTCTCCATCTAGAAGGACCACAGGAACCCTCTAAGACCACCTTGTAACTGGATGGTATAGCCTTGTATTTGCAAGACTCATGCAATGAATACCCTTTTGCTGTTCATTACTGTATGTCTATGACTTACACCTGTGTTTCCTTTGCATGTTTGTGCCTCTTGTCCTATGGAACTGCTTTATATTATGAAAGGCACGTACACCTCAGCACTGCTCCTGGATCTGATCATTCAGACATTGACACTCTTCAGACTCTAACAAGTGCTTATCTGTTTTATTACCCTGTTTATCACTGGACAGTTTAAAGTAACACCTACAATGGTGGGTTGTGTATGTGACCTGGGATGGCCGATTCACATATTGGCAGTTGCCACTTTCCCCATAATTTTGTTAGTCGGGTCTGGTTACAGTCTTGCTCATTATAGTTGGGTCCAGTGAGCGGGGAGGGATTGATTTGCTTATATTTGCTACTATGGTTTATCTCTTGCTCATTGTCTAGCTTAATTAGAAAATGTGTTTTATTGCCATTCTTCACCTTAGATTCTAGTATATACAACACATAGTTGTATCGTAAGATAAGATTTATCTTGAATATCAGAGGTTTGAATTTGAAGCTCAAGTGATTCTTGGTCTTTAGTCTCTTGAAGAAATATACATTCTATTTTATTTTATAACATGTAACTCAGCGTTTATGGATTCTTTGCTTTTAAAATGTCTGTTTACTTTCTGTTGGAAACGCTCCAGTTGTGGTTAAGGGTGGACTCATTGTAATGTCATATAGATGCACTAGTTGTGTATTTCTTCATGTCAATAAAATGAAGTTTACAGGTCATTGCTTTCAGAAAGAGCCCTGCCCCCCCCCCCCAAAACACGTTGACATTTTCCTTTCATATAAATGTT